TACTATTTGTGTATGTTTTTTCCTTTTCATGACTATTTCTACTATTTTCTGTTGAACCTTTTTTCCTATTGTCTTGTCACTTGGTGGTATATAAACTCCTAATACTACTAATTCCAATTGCTTAAAATATAGTATGAGTTCTATCAAATATTCATTTATCTTCTTGACTGCACCCACATGCTTTTCCCATTGTTTATTAACTAAGAAACCTATACCAGATCATTTTTTCTTGTCTTTTGCTGCATCTGACCAAAACCCAACATAACTCTTATTTGCTGTATATGTTAGAAACCTTCCTTCTCTTTCTGTAAGATTTGTTTCAGTAATCTCAAGTATTGTAATTTCTTCTTTTTCTGCCCATTCCATTAGGTTTTCTAGTTTCCATCCTTTGGTTTTAAGTCCATTAATGTTGTGACATACTATTTTTATTTCTTTTCTTCCTTGTCTTCATTTTTCTTCTAGTCGCTCCTTTCTTGTTTCTGTGACTTCTACTTGTTCTTCCCTTTTTGTTTTTATGTTTTTCCTATAGCCAGAAGATACTTCTATATTGTCTTCTTTGAATATTCTTCTTTCTCTATATAGAAACTCTCCAATCTCCTGGTCTATGCTCCTATATTCAACTGGGGTGCCCTTAGGAGCGGTAGGCTAGGCTGTTCCATGTTGTACTTCTTGCCTCTTCTAGTTTTTCAAGTCTTTCTAAAATTCAGTTTAAGATATCATTTGTATGTATAGCCTCTTCTTGTGTCTGAGTTTTGAGTTCTGCTGTTTCTCTACTGCGTAGTTTTTCTTCTTCTTCAAGTAGATTTGTATATCTTGTTTTATTTTTTGTGTTTCAATCTTGTATACTACTTCTGCTTGCTGCTGCTTGATTCTTTATACTTCTATTCCATTCTCTCCTTCTTTTGTTTGTATTTAGCTTGAATTCTTGTTCTTCCTTTTGGCTGTTGCTCTCTTCTATATCGGAGATTTGGCTAAACCTTTCCCAGCTTCTTCTTCTTTCTCTTTTAAGGTCTTTTGTTCATTCTATTTCTTTTTTTTCTTCTTTTACTCAATACAGTTGGAAATTATTATACATAAATGGTTTCGATTAGGCTGTTTTCATATCCTCTTCTGTTGCAAACATAACTGTTGCTGTTTTTCTTTGGTTTCCATTTCTATTTGGAGGTATATGAACTGACTTTATTCCCTTGTTCTTTAAACTTCCTAGTAATAGAACTTCTAAGGCACTTCCAGGTAATTCTGTTAATTTTGCTGTATAATTTCTTTGTCTTTCTCTAGCTTCATGATTTTCAATTTCTTTAGTCACTTGTACCAGTTTGTTGCTATCACTGGTATAGCCCAAGGAATGTCTTTGTATGTTTCTTCTGTCTTAACTACTGCTAAGACCTTATATTTTAATCTTTTAATTCTTGCTATAGGGTCTTTTTTGAATCTTCTACAGATATATTCTACCTCTTTTTTGTTTATATTTGTTGGTAAGTTCCAAATTGTCAGATAATTCTTGTCTTTAGATTCTTCATTTATTTCATATTGGTTTTTATTTGTTTTGGTTTTGTTCTCCTTCTATTTTTGTTTTTCTTCTTTAGTCCTCATTTTGCTGTTACTTCTCTTTTGATATTTCTTGGTATATTGTGTTTGCTTCTTCATGCTGTCTTCTTTTTCTTCAGGTATTATTCTGTACCAGTCACTTTCCTTTTTGCTGATTCTTTGTATTGCTGTATTTCTGCCATATTTGCAGTCAAAATCTACTTCTATCCATAAGTTTTCTCTTTTGAAAACTTTTCTAACATCTTTAACATGTGCATTGTTTCTTAACGACCTTCTAATAAATTTCATATGCTCTTTTTTTGGTTTTCCTGGTACATTGTGTGCTGGTATATTTGCAAGCAAACTGTTGTTTTGGTTACAGTTCCTTTTGTTTGGAGTACATATACTTTCTTCTAGGAGTTCTTCGACTATATCAATTTCTTTTTCAACTTCTATTTCGATGGCTTCTTGTTCTTGCTCTTCCTTTTGTACTTCTGTGTTTCTTTCTTGTATAAACAAAATTTCTTTTTCTTGATTGTTGTTTGTCAGACTTATCTTTTTTCTTGGTTTCTGTTTGCTGCCATTGACTGTTGCTGTACTTCTTCCTGTTTGTCTTGTGTTTGTTTTGTTATGGGTTCTTCTATTATAATAACATTCTTGTTTTGTTTCGTAATATTGATTTTCTTATCTGGCTGTTCTTCTTCTGCTTTCTTAATTATTTCTCTTGTTATATACAGCAAGGCAACCTCTAATGCATCTTGTTCTGTTAGCATAGCTACAATCTCATCTTTTCTATCTGGTATTGGAATAGTTTTACTAGCTTGGTTAAAAAACACCTTGTTGTGTATGCTATTTGCTGCCCAATATGCTCTTTTGATATAAGTTGTCATTAGGCTCTCTTTCCAATTTTGTGTGTTACTCATATTTTGCTTAGTTATTAGTGGCTCCTATTTAGTATTTGTTCTAGCACTTTCTATGTCTTATGCCTATTACTATCCAAATTGGATTTGTTTGTATGTCTGTCAATATACATGTCTGTTTGTTTATCTATTCACATGTTGCTATAATCTACAAATCAATGTTTCCAAGTTACAGAGAATTTTCCAAATTTCACTTTTCTAAATGTCGAATGAGATATTTTTTCTCTATCTTTCCTATAAGCCTTTTAATTTTCTACTTTTATCTCTTATTATATATTTTTCTACAAACTCTATCTTTTTCTTTAGGTCTGTAAGGTTAGTTTTGACAGCCGTTTTTTAGCAAACTTCTAAAATATTTTTTTACAGTTTTGTATACGAGTGATCAGCAGAGAGAGTTGATATAATTCAAATGAAATATTGTAATAAAATTTACTTTTTTTTTTATATTAATATATATTTATTTTTAACTTTATATTATATTTTATATTTTTCTTAATATTTTTATATAGTTTATAAATTATTTTATTAGTTTTAATCATTTATTTAATAGGTTAATATTTATTTTATTAGTAGATTTCTTATAATATTTTATTTTAGTCAATAATTGTTAGAATATCTAAAAATACAGTTGTTTAGTATTATAAGGACTCTGACCAAAGGTCTCAGATTATGCCTCAGATGTCTCAGATGCTCTAGGATACTCTAAAATGATGGAACAATTAATTTAATTATAGTTAATTAATATTTATTAATTATAATACAATATTTATTATAAGTTACTATATAGTTTCTATATACTACTATAATTATTTTTAGTTATACTTAGGACAACACCTGTAAGGAGGCTTCTGAATACTAAATAACCATAGAGAGTTTTGTAGATGAACATATAGACTACATAATGATATTTGTTTTATTTTTAGTTAATATATAAGTTATTGCATAATGGAATACCAAGTATTGATAAAATTAGAAAAATACAGAATTGGTTTATCATTTGTATACAAGCATTATTGGTAAAATGTATATAGAATTTCTTAATTTTTGCAGTATTTTGAACATTCATATGGTCCAGAATGATATATAACACATAGTAACTCTAAAATCAATCAATTATTAGATTAAAACCTATAAAAAGAATAACTTTTTGTCTTTCTAAAAGGATTATTCTTAGAATTTTAAAATAACTCTTAAATAACCTTTTTTTAAAATCTTTTACTTATATAAAAATACTTTTATATCTTAAATTATTTTTCAATAAAATATTATTTTACCTATTTTATCTTATTATTATTAATAAAATCTATTCTTTATTATATTCTTTATTTTATTTTTCTTTATCATTTATCTTTATTTAGTTTATTTTTCTTATAATAATATAAAATGAAAAACTGATTTTCTTAATTAATTATTTGACAAATACTAGCTTTATATTATTCTTTTATTCTTCTTTTTTTTCTTGTAATCCTTTTACTTTTAACTTGAAACTTACACATAAATGTAACTTTTTGACATAGAGAAAAAGAAGAAGAAAGTGATGGTGGTGATGAAACCCACAATATTTGAAAAATTGTAAAGTTGCACACCACCTGGTAAACGAACTGCTGCAATTTTACCTTTGCGATGCCAGTGACTAAGTGTGCACCAAGGGTAATCACCTTTATAAGAAAATCCCGTGCATATATTAGATGTGATTATAAGCAAATGTGACTATAGAGGAGGTGACTATATAGAGATTAAAAAAATAATTTCGACTAATCAAAAATAATTTCGGCTGTCTAGATTTGCGCCAAGAGCCAAATAATTTAGACACCATGTATAAGAGTTCTCCACAATTTCGTGAAATTCCCGTTCCGCGACACCGTTTTTCTCCTTTGCTAAAAGAATGGAAAAAAATTTACGAACCTCTTGTAAAACATTTGAATTTGCAAGTTAGAATGAATCTTAAAGCAAAACGCGTCGAATTAAGGGTAATTCTGACCTTTCATAGAATTTTGTAAAAGGTATTATTTACAGAAACTGACTTATCTGCTATAATCCTAGACATCTAAATATACAACAGATTTAGGATCAATTCAAAAGGCTGCAGATTTTGTTAAAGCTTTCATGTTAGGATTTAACGTTGACGTAATGTTATCAATTCTTTTGCTAATCCGAGTAATTTTTTCGTACATCTATCTTACATTTACAGTGTTTAATACAATTAGGATGCGATTGCAATATTACGTGTAGATGATCTTTATATTGATTCTTTCGATATTAAAGATGGTACATTTTCAGGAATTCCTGACGAGACTATCTGTCAATACTAACTGCTACGTGAAATTTTAGTTAAAACACTGGAAGGTGATCACCTATCTCGCGCTATTGGTCGCATTGCCGGTAAAAATGGAAAGGTCAAATTTGCTATTGAAAATGCTTCAAAAACTAGAGTTGTTTTGGCCGATACGTATGTACTAATGTATAATATACATATACTTTTTCATTAAAATTTCGGCTTATAAGATCACACACCAGTGGTGTTTAACATCCTAATTACTATATCTTAAAAATTAGCTAAGTTATTAACACTTGGTGCTCTAAACAAACATGTTCAGCGCCTAGAAAACCTAGCTTTAATTTTAACCCTAACTTCTAATCCTGATAAAATTACTATAAAAATGTATATAGTCTTGGGCGCCACTAGTGTGATTTAAACCATTGCAAAATTGATGAGATTTTAAATCTAATTCATTCTTTTAATATTTACAAAAGATCAATTCACATCCTAGGATCCTTTCAGAATATCAAAATTGCTCGGGATGCAATTGTCTCTTTGATTTTAGGCAGTCCACCTGGTAAAGTGAATGCAAACTTGGCAATCGTTTCTTCTAGAATGAAACAAAGATTTTAAAAAATGGATGCTAACAATTGTATTGGAGGAAGAAAAGGTAATTTAAGAGTTGACTATGAACATCAAATTTTATTATGAGAAAACTTTAGAATGTTCATGCCTATTTTTATAACAGTATAAATTTGAGGAAAAAGTTAGGAATAAGTTATTCATTGTTCAAAGAAAACATATAAAAAACTAAAATATAAAAATTTCCTTTCAAAATTTTGATATTTAGTATTTGAAAAATATCCAAGATACTATTCACTAAAAAAAGATTATTCCCGTCATTTTTATTAAGTTGTACAATCCTACTGCATAAAAGTAAAAAAAAATAATATATATATTTATCGAATGCTCGTCCGAACGTAAAATAAACTATATGCGGCACGGGTCTTTAAAAAAATATTAAGATTAGCATATGTCAAATTAAAATTGACTGAAAATAAATCATAGACATACCATTACATTTGGTTCGTTGCATATCGATACTCGACTATCATCAAAGGTATGCCATTCGTTTCTATTTCGCACGCATGCGGTATAATGACCGCCATTCAATCCGCCGTAATGGTTTGAAACTGCATATAGGTCATATGTAAAAGGACCAGTTTGTTGTAAATTGAAACGTGATCCACCAGAACCAGGAATGTCCGTTTTTGGTATGAAACCAATCGGAGTAGGCTGTGGTATTGGCGTGGGCACATACGAAGTTAAATCCAAATTTCTAAGTGGAAAAGATACTTTTGTTTCAAGTTTATCCCTAAAAGGACCATCAAATGAAAATCTTTTAAGATGTATCAATAAGATGTCTGGTAATCTTGCAATAGTAAGCTGCTTTTTTGCTTTTCTTAGGCATTTGCATCTAGGGCAATTCCAGGAATCATTTCCCTCCAAAATCTCTTCTTTTGTAAAATCGTTAAGACACATTTTCAAATCAACCTGTTCTCCATCTTTGATATTCGTAGGAATAGGCAGTGAGAGATACATAAAAACATTATATGTCGAGGATGTTTTTTCACACGTCAAACATGTCAATTTATTACGAAATTGACCTTGAAATAAACTGACAACGACAGAAGAATTACGCATCAAATATTTTTCCCACTCTATCTCAGATGCAATCTGTGGTTGTAATCTTTCCATTTCCTCCTCTTCTTGAGACGTTAACTCTTTAATTATTGGTTTATCTATGACTATGTTCAAATCTTCATGCAAGCCATCTAGTAAATAAGCAAGGAATTCTTGAGAGTCTTGTTGATCAGACCCTGAGAACTGGGGTGCAAAACGTCCGATAGCTTCCTTGAAAGTCACAGGTGAAACAAAATGATACTGTTCACTCCACATCACTTGTATCAATTTTGCAAATGCTTCAGCCAAAACACCTTTAGTACCTAAAGGATTCGATTTATTAATGTGTCGTCTGAAACTACCATCTAAAAAGTATCTGGCAAATGGCAAAGTCCCACTTAAACATTGAATAACAGAATTCATAAAACAAGTATTGCCTAAATTTCTTAATCCTGTTATACCAATGCAGGATCCCAGCTTAGAGAAACTACTTTCTGTTTGGGGAAAACGATGATGATTTTGATTATCAGATATTAAAGACGATTTATGATGCATGGCCATTTGTTCTGAACTATTTGCAGATGTATTTGATATTGACGTATTGGACGGTATTGATGGTGTTGGACCCGAAGTAATCTCGTGTTTTTTTGGTGGTAACGGAGGAGCATACTCCGGATCTTTTATCTCACTGAAGCCATGGTACGGATGATCAAATACAGTTTTACGACGTTTTAAGGAATGACTTGATTGTGTTGTAGTCGAAGTAGAAACAGAAGTTGGAGTTTGTGAAGGCATTATAATTTGTGCTATTGGTTTATTTATGGCAGTAATTCGTGGGTTCGAAATTGTGTTTGGTGAATTACTATATAGCGAATGATTATACAATATGTTGCCAGTAGGGCTTGATGAATAATTTGATTCCGTCATCGATTGGGCCGAACCACAAGGTTGGTGATACTATAAGTGGTTTATTTACAAATATGTGTATATAATTAATCGTTGACCAATAAATTATTTTACCTTAATTAAAAGTTTACTTACAAAATCCAAGAAACTACGTATAACATTAAGTGAATTGCTTGGGCTAACAGAATATGGATAATAAATAGCAATATTAGCTACATATAAATTTTCACAATAATTTTACTATTCCATACATACTTTTGGTCAGCATCTCTATCGCGTTGATTTGCTCGAGTATTATTATTAACATTGCACTCAATACCAGATTCACCTACCAATCTAACCCAAGCATTAAAACCTCCATTCAACAATACAGGACCCCTCTTCAAATGCTTTTTGAATTCATTTTCACAGATTGCTTGAATTAAATTCCTTATGGCATTTCTATCATCCGAAGTCGAAGTCTTCCCTATGGGAATGAAACTGGAATCTTGATCATGATATACAACCAAATCAAAATTATGACGGTCAGCAAAAAGCTTTCTTTCAAATTCAGGACCAACTACAAGTTTGGACTCAAGGTTGATAGATGATATCCTATCGAGATTACAATAATTAAATTAAGATTTGTATTTATCCCATAGAAAATGAATACAGACAAATCTTAAATATTTAGGCTTACTCATCCTTTAAAATGATGGGATCCAAGCAAACTATATTCTTTGTCTTAATATGCCCACGATCAAATGCAGCTCTGTGTCTAACGTCCAATACCAATATACGTGATGGATCTTCGGTAGTGTTAAGTAAATCACGCAAAACGCTAACCTCTATTTTGTTGGAATCAGGTAAAAAATCTAATAATTTTTTTTTATTTGGCAAAGATTTCGTATATTGTTTAAGTGTAGGGGTTTCAAAAGATGGTGCGGAGACAGGCGGAGTTTGCGGATAAATGGTTTGTTTTGGAGCATTATTAGATTTGGGAGTTCCATTTTGCATATGTACAACATTTAAGCTATTAGATTCGGATGAAGTCAAAGTCGAAGATACACCATCAATATTATTATTCATTAGACAAGACGGTGATGATTGTTGCAAAGAATTAGTACTATTCAAGAATACATTTGATGTTGGTTCTGGGGTAGGATGTGGTACTGGCATCTGTATATAACTATCTGTAGTTTCACTTCCTTGACCCCCATTTTTCTGATTTTTTTCATTTTCATTTTCTAATATTTTTCTTGCTGCTTCGGCCTTTGCTAAAATGTCTGAAATTCCCTACAAAGTATATGCTATTTTGTGAACAAGTCTAGAAATAAAACAAAATGTAAACATATAATGCGTACAGTGCGTAGGTCCGAGAAGTCCTTTTTCTCTTTTTCACTTATTTTCCCATATTCCTTATGATTTGGTATAATTTCTATAAGGATACTGTTTTTATGATTATGAATCGAATATTAGATTTCTTCTGTTGGTCAAGTTGTTAGTAAAGTTTTATTTAAAACTTACGATGAAACTTTAACATTAGAGATGTAGACTGTTTCCAAGTCACCCTTTTCATTAGCTAATTTCGCCTAGACGAGAAAACAAAAGAAAAAACACCGAATAAAGGATTAAAATATAAAAATTAGAAGCTCTCAAATTAGACTAGTCTTAAAAGGATATTTAACAGCAACTAAACGCTCGTTTTGCATAAAAACATCAACCAACCTGGTCAAGCAACTTTCCCACACTACTCAGCCAAGATTTTATTGAAGCGTCTTTAAGATCTTCTGAAATTTCACATTTTTTTTTTAGCTGAGACGGTAATGAAGTCGACATATTGCTATCTCAAATCACTGCTAACGCTAGGAACTTTTTTATACATATGCAGAGATCACACGAGCATTTATCGTTATGAAATATCGATATTCTATTTTTGGATGCATATTTTAACTAAAAGAGATGGATTACGTAACTCTATTACAACAGGTCATGATTTGAGTGTTGTACACGGGACAAATTTAAGGTTTTAAAAAAGTATCAATTGCTCAAAATTTTATTAAAATAACCTACTTTAAATTATAATTTTACATATGTCATATTAATGAGTGTAACAATCACCTTGACACGAACTTATACCGATGGATAGATTATTGGCTAGCTTAAGGGTAGGGGTGACGTAGATCATTTGTCATATGATTTTCTAGCAAATAAAATTTTATATATAAAAAAAAAATATATTACTAATAAAACTTTTCAGTATTATATTCAATTGTTACCAAAATTTAATAGTATATAAATTTATATCTTCTAATTATTTTGATAAAATTTTATAATTTATTTTATTTAAAAAAAAATACTTTATATATTACTAAGTTTGCCTAGGTTAGCTTATAAGTTTTCTAGAGCACACAAGATTTATATAGGAAATTTGTGTAACATAAATAAAATTTTATATGTAAATCATATGATATCATATGATTTGCTATAAAATTACTAGTAAAAATGATTTACATCATCTCTACCTTTAAATATAAACTTTTAGATAACTATTTCTTCAAAAAAATACAGATATGTGATATTTTTGTGATACATTTGTAACTCACCTATTATTGTATTATTTGATCTGTTATTAACAATTCTGTTTAAAAAATAATTATTTTGATAATTTTATGTTTATATTTTGCAAAAAATAAATTAAATTACTTATTTTTATAAAATTTTTTTTTGAAAAAAAATAAAAGATAACAAAATTTTATATATAATTTTTTATGTAAGTTTTAAAGTTATATAATAGTTGTTCTAAGTTTTTAATAATTTTGATTTGAATTTTTTTTATAATTATTTTTAAAAAATATCTTTTAGTTTAAGAATAGAGTTATATAAATTATTTTTATATAGTTATATTTATATTTTTATCTAATTTAATATATGCTATTAATAAAACTTTTTTATTTATTTTTTTTTTTTTATTTTTTTTTTTTTATTTTTTTTTTTTTTACTTTGGCGACAATGCCAGTTGGTTTTTATTAGCTTAATCTTTGATATAGTACAAATTTATAGTTACATTTTAGGATCGATTATTACTAGTACTATATACTATCTAATTTAACATCACTGACTTTACCCAGTTACCCTTATGGCACCTAAGTGCATGTCCACCGCATGCCTGCACACAGTTACCTTGGCAACCACTTGCGGTCATAGCATACATTAAACTACTACACAGACAAGAATACCTATTGAATTTAATGCGACATCCCAAATGCCAGGAGTACTGTCTTCTGTAAATCGTATCCATATGTCCCACTCACATGTTTTACCTAGTTTTGTTTCTTCTGCCTTCTAATCTAATTATATCTAGTATTACCTTGTTCTCCACATTTCCCATCTTTTCGTCACTGTATTACTTCCAAATTGGTCCTACTTAGATATGTCTGATCCTTATAATCTTCTTATCTTTGGTTTGCCTGTTATTGATTCCTCTAAGGTGCTTCGACAATGGTCCAGAATCTACAATGAATCTGTATCTCAAGCCAGATTTGCTGCTGTCATTAGTCTTTTGACCAATCTGTATCTTAAGCCAAACCTGCTACCACTGTTCCTGCAGATGCCCTAGGTCTTAATGTCATACAATAACTCGATGCTGCATTTAACTACCAACACAGTACTTCCTTTTATAGTAGAGACTGGGACTTGTTACACTTACAAACAGAACAATTCTGGTTATACCTAGAGAGTTCCTCTGACCCTAGTGATACTATACTATCATATATTGCAAGCTCCCAGCTTATTCGACAATACTTGCAGGACAATTCTGGTTATGTCCAGGAAGTTACACTGACCCCAGTGATGCCATACTACCTTGCAGATCTTATCTCACATTGGTTGGTTAATCCCTAGTCTTGTTCATCATAGACTTCCATATAGGTACGACCAGAACCCGATTTAGTACTTTTACATTGCAGAAAGAGGTTATACACCTACCTCCAAGATCTTTCTTT